TTTTTTTTTAAAATAAGTACTTTAAAGTATATTAAGGCAAGATTATATTGAAATTGTTCATGCATAGATAATTGAAGGTTGAATTTGCGTATTTAAATAGGTAATTCTTCTCCCAAAGGTTGAGTCCCCAACCCCAAGGGCCCCCCACACTCTGACCCGACAGAGCATTGTGGGAAGTTGTAAATCACGGTGACTCAATGGTTCAGCAGACAGGACCAAATGTCGGTGCGAACAAGGAATCTGCCCACTTTGGACATAATTCCCGCACTGCCGCCGCCGAGGTTCAAACCTTGGTCTCTTCTCCCAAATAATGCCCACTAAACCATTGAGCTAAGCCCGTGCGGGTTAAACAGGTAATTCTAAGTTTACAAATGCAAGATAATGTAGTCAAGATTGATTATAATTGTCAATAAAATAATTGTATAGGTATGGTTGAAACCAAATACGGGACATAAGGGAGAACAAATAAAAATTAGGGCATAAAATATTAAATATATACTAATATTGTTTGAGGAGATTTCGACATTAGGATTTGTGGTTAAGACTTTAATATTAGAATTAGATTAATGGTGTAATTATAATTCTATATTAGACGTTAATATTAGAATTAGACTAACGGTGAATTAACGGTATTTAACGGAAAAGTTAAATGGATAATCATATAATTAAGGATAAATTAGAAAAACTTTAAAAAAAAAAATTAAAACCTGAACAATTTGAACCATTCATTTGATTTAATAATTTGGCGATCATTTTTTCTACCCAATGTTAATAATTAAATAAATTCGTTGGTCAAATCCGCTAATATAATCCGCTAACTGCTGATTGTCAAACAAGGACATTGCAAGGTAGTTCTCACTTCAATTTGTTGTGTGATTTGAATACTCTCTTTGTCACAAAATCTCTCAAGTAGTTAATATGGTTGGCTTTATTAATTTTATATATATATATATATATATATATATATATATATATATATATATATATATATATATATATATATATATTTTAATTTTTTCATGGTATTAATAAAATACTTGGTAAATAAATATATAGCATTATTTTGTATTATAACTTTAATATTTAATTAGAAAAATAGTGCACAAAAAAAGATAATAGACAATGTAGTGAATATAATCAATTGATGAATTTGAATGTAAAAATTTTTACATTTGAGAAAAATAAAGACAATATAACTAATGAAAATATTTCTCTTAATTAATTTATTGATAATGAATAATTTTTTTTCACTGAATTAAGACATTGTAAGGACAATGTAGCGAATATAATCAATTAATAAATTTGAATATAAAGAATTTTTATATTGTAGAAAAATAAAGACAATATAACTAATACAATTATTTCTCTTATTTAATTTATTGATAATGAATAATTTTTGAATAAAGGCATTGTGGACACATAAGTCTAAATTAAAGAAATGCATATCTATAATTTTTTGTTGTAGCTACTAAATTATTATTTATATAATTTAATAAGAGTAAAATAGAGTACTAATTATGCCAACTTTGATTGGGATGAGGTTTGAACCTAAGACCTTTTTTTTTATTATTGAAATCAATGAGTAAGTTAACGGTGAACTAACGGCAATTCTTAAAATTTTAACGGAATTAGTAACGGTGTGTGGGTATTTTAGGAAATTTTAGTGTAAAATTTAAATCTTATCAATCTTTTAATCAATCTGAGCCATTCATTTGATTAAAATCTGTGACCGCCATTTTTTCTACCCATTATAGGCCTAACTCTCTTGGGCTCTTATTAGTATAGTAGATATAGTAGATAGTAGATATATATATATATATATATATATATATATATATATATATATATATATATATATATATATATATATATATATATATATAACCGTTGGATCCGTTTTATATATATTTGTGTGTATATATATATTTCCGATAAATATCAAATAATATTTTATATACTTGTGTGTGTATATAAATATTATTTTATGATATTAAATCGATTTTGGTTCATTATCACCAACAATCTCCATTTCACTCCATGCGAGTGAAGAACATCTAAGCTTAAGATTTCTTCCTCTCACTTTGAATCTGAGTATTGTGCTTTGCAAGCTCCACTCAAATTGATGGAGGCAGGTTCTTGGTTCTCAAATCGTAGTTCTGAGGCTGAAGCTTTAGAAACTTCAACCTCAGTGGCTCAGTGCATGGGCAATCTGTTGTCTTTTTACACAAATCTTCGGCTACGATTGGTTTTTGGGAACAATATCTTTGAATTTATAGACAAAATGAGGTAGGTTCTTAAGCTTTTCGTCAGATTCTTCGGTACTAACAAACCCACTTCTTTCTTTGGAACAGATCGGCAAAGGCGATGCAAAAATTTCATAGATTCAGACAACGGCAGATGAACTACCTCGGCCATATAAGTCATTGCACAGGTTTAATTCGGATTACCTCCTCTGTTCTTCATATTATTTATTATGATGCTTTGCAAATTGTACTCAAATTGAGGCCGGTTCTTCATTCTAGATTCATAATAGTGAGATTGCAGTTGTATAAACTTACACGTACTACATGATTTTGTCTATTATAGTTTCACATACTGCTTGTTCTTCAACTTTAGTTTTGATGAACAATGCTTTGGAATTAATACTCTACAGTAGGTCTGTTCTCAGTGGTTTTCTACATAGCTTATTGCTCAGGTCAAACTTTTAATCTATGCGATCTTGATATCTATGTATTCATACCTGCCAAAAAAAAACTTGGGTATTTAAATTGGTAAAAACAACTGTATAAAGATATTTATGTGCCCAAGAATACAATTGTCCATTATATCATAGCCAAGAACACTAAAGACATTTATGCATTACCGCATAAATGTGACCAGTCCAATATAGTCTTCCCAACAACACAAATTCATAATTTGAACTGAAATATTTCCAATCCAATTTTTCCATCTTCACATGTGCCTCTTTAGACTTCTTGGAACTTTGGGTAGAAGAGAATTCATCCAGCAGAGACCTCTTGACAGGTCCACATTCACCAACATCACATTCCTTCGCAGGGTTGACACCTGGACTCTCAGAAACATCCTCATCCTCAAATTCCTGATAACAACAAATATTAGAAAACATATTTTTTTTTAAGGGAAAACATATTGTTTATAGTATATAATCTAGAATTAATTACATAGTACACCTCTTCTTAAAAGTCATAATTGTCCTCGGGTTGCAATTCAGAGGTTAGGTCCTTATCTGGTTTGTCCAACAGCACAGGAAATAAACTGTCACCAAGTTAGGGTCAATTATAACCTTCATAACAGCAAAGGCATTGTGGAGGTTGTCAAATTGTTCTATTCTAGCAGCAATCCTAAAAAGCATTGCAAGTCCCAATGTTGCAAAACATGCTAGGCGCCCCCTAGGCGCCAAGGGGGCGCCTAGCGCCTAGGGCGCTAATTAGGCGCCGATTTTTTATTTATTTTTAATTTTTTTTTTAATTAAAAATAAAATTAAAAATTAAAAATTTTTAAAATTTAGTAATAAAACATAAGGTTCCATAGTTATTTCTTAGAAATTATTTACGAAAGTAGTTGTAAAAGTGTTCAAAAGATTGTTTAAACCATCTAAATACATAAAAAAAAAACTAAAATTAAGAGCTAAAGAAGCATTTTTTTGAGCTGAAAGCACAAATCAACTAATTTTTTTTTAAAAAAAACAAAGTTCGAATATCAAAGACACAACTAATTAATCTAACTAGACAAATGTGATGAAGAATAATGTCTGCCGGAGAGAAATCAGCGAGAAAAAAGAGGATCACCAAATTTACCGGAACAGATCCGATCAGCGAACCCGAACCCGAGTGCCATGAGGTGGAAGGTCAGAGATTGTAGTCGCGGGAGCCCGACTCAACCAACAGCTTCCAGTAAGAAAGGAATAACCGATCCTTGCGGTGTATAGATCTCGAAAAAATATCCAATTTAAAAAAAAAATTGTCCAAATCGGACAACCGAGTCAAAAGTTATGCCTTCCGAAACTTTTCCGACATTTTCAAAAAAAAAAAACTCGCCGAACCGCCGAGGCCATTCCTCGCGGCGGCCTCCTACCGCCTAGCGCCTAGGCGCAATTTTTGCCACACTGATAAAAATAATACGTAAAATAGTGTCAGTTTAAATACATTATAGTGTCTGTCATTTTGGACCATGGTCTACAAAGCTCTGTGACCCCAGTCCACTGTATAATAGCTGGCTCACAAAAAGGCAGGACAGCATATGAGATGAAATCAAGGATAAATGGGCCACAACCCACCAATGTTGGGTAATTAGAAGACTTAAGTAGCCCATTGGAAAGTTAATGCAATTATTCTGTGGATCACGATCTGAATGTTTAAAATAATGTCATTTTGATGTTTAAAAAATTCTTTGTTTTGTACGATTGTTAGAATAATGAATATTTTAGGATAAAATAATATATTTTATGAGTTAGAATAATGTATAATTTATTTTATGTGTTAAAATAAAATATTTTGTGAGATAAAATAATGTACTCTATGAGTTAGAATATATAATATATTTTATGTGTTAGAATAATGTATTTTATGAGTTAGAATAATGTAATTTATGTGTTTTGAACAATTGTGTCGACCACGATTCAGACAATAGTAATTGAATGTTCAAACATTAGGTTTTTGTCTAAAAACCATAACGAGTATATATGAAGCATAAGTTTAATATCTATTTTTCATAACCTACAAATATATATATATATATATATATATATATATATATATATATATATACCCTAGTTCTAGTGCGGCTACGCACTAACGTGCGGTCAGTGCGGCCGCAATAATAGTTATGCAAACACTGTTAGGAAACACACAACAACAAAAATACATAAATACACTAATTGCAAAAAACGCATTATTAGGTACACATCACCAAAAACGCACCAATAAGTATGCATAAACGCACCACACAATATTCGGAAACGCACAATTAGGTGTGGATAGGTATGTTACTTTTTTGAGTGTGTTGTGCGTTTTGTGGTATATTTGTGCATATCATTGTTGTGCGTTTTTTTAACACTATTGGTGTGACCGCACCGACCGCACATTAAGGCGCGGTCGCATTTGAGTTTATATATATATATATATATATATATATATATATATATATATATATATATAAAGCATAAGTTTAATATCTATTTGTAATAAGCTACAAATGTAGTAACTTTTACGTTATGTTTGGTTCGTAGAATAAATTGAAAATAAAATGTCATTCCGAGCTTCTACAATTAATTTATTTGCTTCCCACTTATTCTTTAAATTGTGACTTTAGTCGGTAAATGATCACAATTAGGTTAAATTTGTTTATTCTTTGAATTGTGAACTTTGTCAGCAAAGGACCACAATGAGGTAACCCAACTTATGTAACCTATAGTTGACTGATTCAAATTAAGTGTGCAAAAATTTGAACTTGTGACCTTATGATTACAAGCATGGATCTCTTGTCATCTTGATTGGGTTACCCCTTCTTTATTTTTATTATTTGAATCAACAATTAGTTGTTAAAATGAGTATTTTAATCTTTTGAAAAATTAAAATAACCACTTGTGATTATTGTACTTTTGATGTATTCCAAGCATGTAATGTTATATTTATGAATTTCATGATTTTAACTAATATGGTGTGTACTTAAATAACTTTGTTCAATATGAATGTTTTACTGCCAAGGAAAATGCATCTTTCATTTTAATTCTTAACTGTCTTTGCATGTGATAGTACTTGCCTTTAGAATTGGTAAAAAATTTTGTAAATGTTATACAACCTTTGCCTTCATAGTGTTTTTAAAATTTTAAGTTTATAATACTTTTACCTTCCCTAATACCCTTAGTAAAGAAAATTAATTAACACTATCTATTGCTATATCAAAGCATGCAGTAAAATACTAACAAGCCGATTTAATATTTTATTAGTGAAAATTCATTAAAAAAATTAAATATCTACAAATTTCAATAATTCATGAAATGGAGTTTTCACCAATGCCTATATCTTCAGTTCAACTATCTACAGATGATATTTAATCAAGACCAAAATTAAAGAAATGTATAGAGTAGTAAATAGATCAGAAGTGTTCAAAAAGGAAATCTCTCTTGCCTTTTGAAACTTGACAAGCAGTTATTTTCTTCCAAAAGATTGAATCCCCAACCCCAAGAGCCCCCCATACCCTGGCCCGACAAAGCATCTGGGAGTATGTAAATCATGGTAACTCAACTGAACCACAGAGGCTAGACCTTTGACAATCAGTTATTTTGTCAAGAGGAGTAGATGTAATCTTCTCTGCATCTCTTTTACAAGACTAAGCCTCAATCATCAAGTATTTTCATAAATGTTCTCTTTGCAAATGCAAGCCACCATTTGTTCGGAGTCCCATTAGCTCGAAATGCAACACTGAGTACTCTCCAACTTGTCTCCTCCCTTATTTGCTTCAGGTAATCTCTAAATAGCTCTATGATAAAAAAAAAATAAAAAAAAAATAAAAAATAAAAAGTCATAGTTCAGTACATGATTTTAGTTGTCACTAAAGAATCCCGCAGAAAATATATTCCATTATCAGACCATTGAAATGCATAAGATGGTATTTACAATTAAAGGTCAGGCATATAAGGTGGACCATTTTGAAGTGGTGTATACTTAATGGTCTGAGATGCAAATATTGATATAATAGTGAAACAAGCAAATAGGGATATTTCATGTTGTGGTAATTGAGTAACAAAATGACAAATTCAAAGAAACAATTGAAGTTGATTAATTTATATTTACATGGCTTTTATCAAAATTTCAAATTGAAAAGCAATTATGTCCAGCTTAACATTCAGAATCTAATAGATAACAATCTAGCTACTTGCTCCTTGTTTCGTTATCTTCCCAGATCACTTAAGTTAAAAGGATAAAGGAACAGTAACAACTGCAATAAAGAATTGAAGCCACAAGTATAAGTTTTCAATAGCATTTTTCACTTACCCGCTTCTTTTTGAGATTTTGTTGAACTGAACAACCAAGGGAAGGGAAAACCTTTCTCCCCAGGTACAGGAACATTTTCATGTCCTAAGTTTATTATAGCCTTAGTACCTTCCGCTAAAGTTCTGCAGCCTTCAAGACTCTTCAACACCACATTTATGTATAACATCAAATAGATAAGGAGCTTATCCGCTGAACTTTGAATATCAATGTTTTTGAAGAACACATTAGCTCTGTAGAATGTGATTGCTTCATCAACTATATCCGTGCTATCTGCACGAACAGTATAACATAAGCAGTTCTCTCCCTCTCATAAGCAAAAGAAACATAGGAAAAGATAAATCCTCTACAAGATTATCAGCATAGTTATCCAGGTAAAGATGATAACTTGGCAAGTCTAACCTTGTTCTAAAACTGGAGCAGGTCCATCTATATCGGTTTTAAGTGGTAGTAAAGGGCACCCGCAAGCTTTAGAAATTCCTTCCCCATCAACAAAACTGGAGTGATGTGCCTGCAAGCAAAACCATTATTGGGATTTATTACCAGACTGGCCTGGTTCAATAATATATTATACATGATTACTCTTTTCATATTCCAAACTCTAACTAGCAACAATCCAGGACCAAACAAAACCACTTAATCAGCAGTAGGAACCAGATTGCATTGGTTTCCTGTACAATCCAGTGTAGATACTCATTTGATCAAAGACCAGGCCATTATTCATCCCAAACAAACACGATTTTCTCAGTTAAATCCAGTCCCAATCCAGATTTAGTGAAATCAAGATAACTAGACATCCCTACCTCTAACATCAAAACTCAAAAACAGTGGAGCAAAAGAGTTGAAAATTGACAATGAAAAAACGATAACCATTCTCAGATACTAAGACAAATCACAATGAGATCAACAGGGGACTGAAAATACATTCATCCACACACCATTTCGTTTGAATTCAATCTTATTCTCGACCCTCCAAATTTTTACTAATCTGCAACGAAAATGCTGAAAGCACAAATCAACCAATTTTTTTTTAAAAAAACAAAGTCCGAATGTCAAAGACACAACTAATTAATCTAACTAGACAAATGTGATGAAGAATAATGTCTGCCGGAGAGAAATCAGCGAGAAAAAAGAGGATCACCAAATTTACCGGAACAGATCCGATCAGCGAACCCGAACCCGAACCCGAGTGCCATGTTGTGGAAGGTGAGAGATTGTAGTCGCGGGAGCCCGACTCAACCAACGGCTTCCAGTAAGAAAGGAATAACCGATCCTTACGGTGTATAGATCTCGAAAAAATACGCAAATTTGAAAAAAAAATTGTCCAAATTAGACAACTGAGTCAAAAGTTATGCCTTCCGAAACTTTTTCGACATTTTCAAAAAAAAAAAAAAACTGGCCGAACCGGCCGGTTAGGCGGTCTAGGCGGCCGGCCGCGGAGGCCATTCCTCGCGGCGGCCTCTATCGCCTAGCGCCTAGACGCCGATTAATCGGCTCCTAGGCGCGATTTTTGCAACACTGGCAAGTCCAACCAAAGACTATTTGATGGGGTACTCTACAGGGTCCCGACAAAAATGAAATTTAGTGTTGTAAGCTCAATTGTTACATAGATGGGCAGTAAAAGATCAAATTTATGAACATGATTTACCTCCAACTAACTCCTTATCATGTAGGTAGGTACCCTGGAGATAGAAAAATATTAGAAAACTAATGCTCTGGAAAATAGAATGATACTGGACTATTTTATTTTTTAGATTTCAACCAAACATGCATTCGTATTGTATTTTTTGGTGACAATGAATATCTGGAAAATAAATAAAATAATATAAACATGCTATGTAAAATAATGGAAACACCATTAGTATTAGATGTCAACCAAGCACCTATTATTTATCATTGATATTTTTTGATCATTCTATTGGGTTGCCATTATATTGCTGCCATTAGCTTATTAGCTTATTCTCGTGCATTACGTTATTACGGTCTTATATATATTATATTATTATAAAATAAAAGCCAGATAAACATACCTGTTCATCATGAATATACACTCCTTGAATTTGATTGATTACCTGCCTCTTCTCTCTACCACTCCGTAGGTACACACCAGGCCTGTTTTAATAGCAGACGTTGTTTTCAAATGAGAGCTTTGGCTTGCAAGGATAAAATTGGAGCAATATTCGTGTGATGTTTGTATTTTATGTAAATTCTATCTCTAGAAGTTTTGAGAGATATGAACTTCCTCTGCTTGAAAGAGCTCATCCTATTTATAATGTTTTGTATCATATTTGAAATCTGTAGAACAGATATGATTAACCTCGTAACTTAAAACAATGATTCTCGATCAGTTAAAGCCGGCTAGGGATATTAACCACGCTTCATCGGAAGTGTAAACGACAACACGCCTAAAACTTAAATAAAGCGCCGGGCATTACCTTTAGCGGGAAACTGCTTTATATATTCTTTAAATTCTTTAATTTAATACTAAAACGACTGTGTTTTGTTTTGGCGGGATTTTTTGGCTCTATTGTGAATCTCTAGACTTGTGGCTTTTTTATATAGTAAGATATATAGTGCTTTCACTGCTTTTTATATATACATATATCTATGAGTTATTTTATTAACTAATTTATTTGGCTAGTAATGGCTTTTAATTTGCATAGATTAACAACCAAAATATCAAACTAGGAGTTTAATTAAGTTTTGCCACTATGTTAATGGCAGAACATATTTTTATGCATTTTCCTTCACTATTTCGATTTTTTCATTTTTATTTTTAAAAAGTGTATTAGCTTGACACCTTGACTATGGATTGAAGGGGGATGGGGATTCCCCGTCCCCGCCAAACTCCCCGCGAGGACGGGGACGAAAAATTTTTTCAATTTCCCGCCGGGGACGGGGAGTATACTTTCTGCCCCCGCCCCGCCCAGTTGTCATCCCTAATCCCACAACAGCTTCTATTGAGTGAAAAATACTTGGTAGGGAATATCCCGACCGACGTAGCTTCACCACGACCGAGGAGCCTTTGTCGCTTTCTCCTTGTCTTTGCAGGTAACAGGTCGGGCTCCACGAGAAGAACCCGGTCGTAGATCGACCGGGAGTTGCTCGAGCGACGGTGTCGACCACCGAGCGATAGCCCTTTGGCGAAAGAGCTGACGAAGGACACGTGGCGGCTCTCTACATCGACAGGCAGGGCACCCGGGAGGATGACACGTGGTAGCTACGTGGAGGGCATGCCGAACGGCTGGAATCTTGTCCCCGGCATAGCGGCTATAAATACCCACAGTAGCTACAGTGTAAGGGACTTTTGGACGATCGATAGGTTGTTGTTAGAGAATCCCGACCGCAGTCGGTCGGCACTCAGAGCAACCAAGTAGATTGTACTTAGGGCCTTTACCGCGATCAATAAAGATATTTACTTGCTTTAATTGGTCTCGTGTTGTTATATATTGCTTACGTGTAATTAGCAGTATCATTTTGGCGCCGTCCGTGGGGATCGTTCAAGAAACCAACGTCTTGACGAGCACCCGATCACCATATCGACATGTATCCGTGGGCACACAACAACTTTGCCGACGACCAGGCGGATGCAGCAAGCTCCTCCGACCACTATGCTACCCAACAGCAGGGTCAGACGATGGACCTCAACCTCAACCTCTCACCACCGCATCCATCAAATACATACCCGACCGCCCAGCAGCCGGTGAATTACATACAACCGGGATACCCACCACCCGGTCTGCCATACCAGCAGCAGCCGATGATGTATCCCGCCCAGTATCCGTACCCGGTCCCACCTCCACCGTATGGGTATTGGCCAGGCCAACCGATGTGCTACACTTCCCCGGTTGGCTATCCACCATATACGCCTGCTTATACAGCTCCAGCCGCCGCCCCTCCAGTACAACCGACCGCCCATGTGGAGCCGCAGCGTCAGTCCACATCCCGGGCTCGACGCTCGGCTCATTCGCGGTTGGGGTCGGGGGGTGCTGATGCGATGGAGGCACCAGCTCAGGCCGTTCAAGCGGAGGACCCTGAAGAAGTTGCCCGAGCGGTAGCTTTTGATCGTCTTCGACCGGAGATGCGCCAACGTTTGGGACCCCAAGACCCGGACCGCGGGCACGAAGACGTACAAATGCAGGAAGCTAGCCACGAGGCTTCATCCGGGTATAGCGGGTCGAGATCTCACCGGCGGCGACGCGCTCGGGATACAGCCCAAGCCGCTCAAGCCGCCGAGCTCAACGAAACCCGGGGACTACTCTATAACCTCCAGGCGGAAGTTGCGCAGCTCAGGAATGCGTACCCTGGAACTCCCCCGGTCAACCAATCAACCTTGCACCAGACGCCTTTCACAGCAGCGGTAATGGCCCAGCCTTACCCGCTCGACTTAAAGGTCTCTGGAGAGAAGAGTTATGACGGACGGGCAGATCCTGAGGCCCACGTGAATGATTTTTTCAGCAACATGATGCTAAAGGGCGTTTCGGACGCCGTGATGTGCAGAGCCTTTTACTCGACCCTCACCGGTCGGGCAGCAGAGTGGTTCCGTACCCTGCCCCCGGGGTCGATCGACAAATTTGAGACCCTGGCGATCAAATTTGTGAGGAAGTTCATCACTTCCAAAGTGGTGAGGAAGTCCTACATGTATCTCGAGAAGGCCAAGCAATTAGAAGGAGAAAGCTTGACCGATTTCCTCATCAAGTGGAAAGCGGCGGTCGGGGAGGTTGAGCCTATGGACGATGCGACCGCCACCCACATGCTTCACATATCTCTCCGGGCGGGACATTTGTACCAGGACTTCATCCTACACCCCCCGACCACTTACGAGGAGGCCCTTCGGAGGGTCACAGACTATGCCAACGCCGGCGAGGCGAATGCCGTCAAGCGCTTGCAGGAGGTTGGCTCTTCGTCCCGTAAACCGGCCGGCCGGGCGGAACATAGGTCGGGAGATGACAACCCCCGATCCCGCACCAGGCCTGGGGAATTTACGGCCTTGAACCGATCCGCAGCGGAGGCCATGCAATACGCCCAGTCCTGCAATCTCATCAAACTCCCCCATCCCGATCGAGACGGCCCTGACAAGAGTAAGCACTGTGCTTACCATCGATGCGCTGGGCATGACACGGAGGAGTGTACCCACTTGCGCCAATTGTTGGAAGATCTGCTTAACAGGGGAAAATTGGACAAGTGTGTGGGGAAGAGAGAGGAAAACAAAAGGAACACCGATCGGAGGGATCATAGACGTTCCCACCACCGCTCTGATCGATCTGGGCAAGACAGAAGGGATGATCGTCATGACGACCGACGGGACCCCGACCCTCCGTCCGGTAGCCGCCCGTCCGGAAAGCCTACCATCTACGTCATTTTCGGTGGGCTGGAAGATGCTTCCCGACCGCGGGCTAATTGCCCGGTCGCAGTAGTAGATTCCCGCGGAACCGGGAAGAGGCAGAAGATGGAACCCATAACCTTCACCCTTGAGGACCAACCTACCAGCAGCGATCACGGCATGGAGGCGCTCGTGGTCACGATTGACGTTAAGGGGACAGACGTCCAGAGGGTTATGGTCGACACGGGCAGCAGTGTGAACGTCCTATACTTGGACGTGTTTGAAAAGCTTGGCCTCGACAGGAAGGAGCTGACTCCGGTCGGTGTACCACTGTCAGGGTTTACCGGGGCTCTTATCTACCCTGAGGGAAAAATAACGCTCCTGGTCGAGATCGGCACGCCTCCAAAGTCGATCCAAACGGAGCTGGAATTTGTTGTGGTCAACCTCCATTGCGTCCACAACATTATCTTGGGCCGACCCGCCATTATGAAGATCGGTGGGATAATTTCTATGCCCCACCTGTGCATGAAATTCCCCACCCCCAACGGGGTCGGTGTGGTTCGTGGCGATGTCCAGTCCGCCCGGAAGTGTTACACCCGAGCGGTCAATAGACGTGACTCCGGTCCATCTTCCCGGGTGAACACCATAGCCAAAGAGGAGGCTAAGGAACGGAAGGAGCAGCCTGAGCCTTCCGAAGAAATTGAAGAAGTGCCCCTGTCCGAGGACCGCCCGGACAGGAAGATAAAGATTGGACGAGCCCTCACCCCTGAGATTCGAGCGAAAGTTCTGGCCGTGCTCCGGGAATACGCTGATATCTTTGCATGGGGGCCTGAAGACATGCCCGGGATCGATCGGTCGGTCATCTGTCACAAATTGGCCGTCGATCCGGCAGCTAAGCCGGTCGTCCAAAAAACCCGGCACCTTTCCTCCGATCGCCGCGAGTTTGTA